GTAATTTAATATATAGGAAAAAAGAAGGCAGCAACGGCAAATCCGAAGCGTGCAACTAGGAAGCAGGCAAAAAGAATTGAACCTGACAACGATGAAGCTGAAGATAATATTAATGTTGAATCTGACAACGACGAAGCTGAAGATGAATTACTTGAACCTATTACACAATCTAAAAAGGTAGTTGAAAAGTTGTCAGATATTAGTAATCAGCCATTAACACAAGTGCAACAGAGTGGTATTGAATCATATTTTAATACTCAGCTTTTTTATTATTTTAAGATCTTATTGTACTATATTTGTAATTTAATATATAGGAAAAAAGAAGGCAGCAACGGCAAATCCGAAGCGTGCAACTAGGAAGCAGGCAAAAAGAATCGAATCTGACAACAACGAAGCTGAAGATAATATTGATGCTGAATCTGAAAGACCAGAAGCTGATTATGTTGTTAGCACTTCATCTGAATTATCTGCACGATCTAAAAAGGTAATAGGAAAATTGCCAGATATTAATAATCGACCATTAACGCAAGTACAACAGAGTGGAAATGATTCCGGTATTATATCATATTAAATACTCATCTTTTTATTATTTTAAGATCTTATTGTACTATATTGATAATTTAATATATAGGAAAAGAGAAAGCAGCAATGACAAATTCGAAACGTGCAACTAAGAAGCAGGCAATGAAGAAAACTGAATCTAAAAGGATTAGAAAATAGAAAGTAAACTGTGTTGTAGTTTCTATTTTATTATTAATTAGTTTGCTGCCGGGAAAAGTACTAAATAAAAAATTTATAATGTGCAATGCATGTATAGCATAATATTATTATATAATTATATATAATAAATTCGTTAAATACTCAATTGTATACCGGTTTTTAATTACATTATGCACAGTTTTTATTCATAAAATGCCCCGAATTACAAACATGTGAAGTTCACCAGAAAATATTCAGATTTTTTAATAAACATCCAAAATAAAAATTGAATTGTATTCGGAATATTTCTGAAGCGAAAGCTTTTATTTATCTATTCCGGAAAATGCTCGAATTTTCTGGAAAAAACAAATTCAGATTCTGGCACTTTTCTAAAACAATCTTATTACAATTGGAAAGTTCTCGTAACAAAAAATCGGGGAATTTTCTGGACTAATAATTCGGGGCATTTTCGGGATATATCAGTGACTTCTTTTTCATAGGGATGATTCGTTACGTTTTTAGATTATCTATTCACTAAACGATGACTCGTGGCTTCACCAAAGGAGTTTTGCTTGTAAGGTTATATATTTTTGTAACGTATTTATATTTATATATAGTTAATGTATTAGAAGTTGAACTTTTGGTTGATAAATAGTACTTATAGTGTACTACTGTCTAATTCAACGCGAATGAAAAAGTGTAGCAGCTTGTTCTAAATATCTTTAATGATAATAGCTGTTATATACGAATCAGTGTGAAAAAGATAAGTACTAAAGATGAGTAACGAATAATCATTGACATATGACGAAACAACAATAAAAATGATATTTAAGTTAGCAACGAAAAGGATGGATTTGGATTATTATCGGTATAAATCAGAGGTCAAATATTTTTTTGAGGGTTAACATTAATTTATTAATATAACAATCCGTTATTACATAATCCTTTAACTAAAATTAAAATTAGATATCAATAACTGGGATTTGGGTGATCAAATTTTTAACTTCACAAAATATACTAGAGATGCGGTAGAAACTAATGATGCCTGAAGAATGACGAAAAGGTAACATCGAATTGACGAAATTCATAACGAAACATAAATTTTATATAACAAATGTAAGAAAAACTAAAGGTGATTTATCCTTTAGGAGACATTGAAAACTAATTAATGTAAATAAATTAGTCCATGTGAACTTAAACTTTTGTTCATTATCATGTTTATCCAGTTTCTAATTTTTTTTTTTTGACGCATTTATCCAATATTCCCGATGATTTGCATTATCTACCTGAATGTATCCGACGAAGAAGAGACCGACGAAACTTTATGAAGAAATAATAGTATTTTGAAAAATCTAAGATTTAGAATACCCAACGGTCATTTGGAGGAACTTGTTGAAAGATGGACAGCTGTATTTTTGGTCGAATTAATTTCATCAAGAGTTTCGTCAATCGTTAGTAGTTACGTCAAATCGTCATGTTTCGCCACACGAAGCAATTGACGAAACCATTTCGTCAATGCAAAATAGTTTCATTAGGCATCGTTAGTAGAAACTATTACGGCTTATGCAGTAACTAGCTAAAGCTTATGCCACAACTAGTTACAGCATAGGTTGCAATAGTTGCATCTCTAATACTAAATGATTGCAGTCAAATAAAATATGAATGAAAGCGATCCACAAATTAAATCAACGTGAATATTAAGAATTTGATGAACGAATGGATTATAATATTTTTAATCAACAAACATTATATGAATATTGCCACAACAGCGCTAATAAGTGTATTTATTTATGACAGAACGGACTAATGAAATAAAACACTAATTTTACCAGGAACGGAGAGCATAGTTATGCAACGTGTGAAGTGTTCTGTGCAAATCCACGTTTTTGTTTGATGTTCTTTTTGCATGCATCATATGATTAGCAATACCTATATTTAGTGTACATTTCGGGCTTACCTTCTAACTTCTATTCAGATAATTATAAAAATTCTGCTATTTGCTATTTCGGTTAGCGCAGTTTGAATTAGAATTATCATGATTTTACTATAAAAAATTCCATCACAGAACTTACTTGTTATTCCGATAAGTCAGTTACATTAGGGGTAGGTTGCGACCCAAACCTACTAGTTTGGGATTTGGTAGAATCCCAAGTAGTATTTACTTAGTGATGCCTGACGAAACCATGTGATGCTAATTATCACGTGTTATTACTTACTAGGAAAACAGACACTGTTAAATGCCCGGAGCCATTATTTATTAAGCTGTTAACTAAAAATAGAAATAGATGTATTAGTAAATTGATGATCATCAAATCTAAAAATAGATGCGGACACAAATTCTGGTCTATCACTGCACCGTAGATCGTCCTCCGCTACGCTCCGGACAATAAAAAATCAAAATAGAAGCATGAGGGAAATTCATTTTGATTGGCCATGTGACGATCATCGATTTTCAAAGATAGCCAATCAAATTATGCCAAA